GGACAGGTGAGGTGGGGTGGGGAGAAAATTTCAGAAATAGCAAAGATAATAGACATAATAAGACTTTATAACTATAGTTTGGTAATTGCTATCCATAGCACTATAAATTTGTTTGCTATGGAGGTTGCGGTTTGTATATTTTGCTTGAAAATATACAAAAAAGGTAAGTATATACAAATGGAGACTGTGGTTTGTATATTTCGCTTGCGAATACAAACATAATAGATAAATACAAATTCTGTATTTATACATTTAGAAATTTTTCAGAAATCTGCTTGTATATTTCGCTTGTCAAAATACAAATAGAGTAATTTATTATGATTTTTTCATAAATCGTATACAAATAGCTAGTTACAAATTCTGAATTTATACAATCAGAAATCGAATTATACAAATTCTAAATTTATATAATTAGGGACCGAATTATACAAATTATGGATTTATACAATTAGGAAACCAAATAGCAAAATTTCGTGAAACTGTTGCTACAATGGGTGGGAGTGGGGCAGGGATCAGATGGGGGTACGGGGTAGTAAAAAATTAAATTTCTTTTTTGTATGAAAAAGTATTTTTTGAATAAAAATAATAATTTAGGAGTGGGTTTGGGGTGGTAGGGGTTGGGTATTAATAATTTAATTTTGATTTAATGTTTTTTGACTTAAGGAAATTAAAGTGGGTTAGAAACATTTTACCCAAATCACATTTGACCAAATTCATAGTTACCCATATTTTTATATGGATCGCTTATAATCCAATAAATTTTGACTCAATCCATCCAATTCCAATTCAATCCAACCATTTGCCTTCCCATAAGCGAAGGGTATTTATAAGTTTTTTTTTCCCATAACGGGAATGGAAAAAAAATGTAGGTAGAGGTATTTATTTATTCTTACTATATTTATGAACAATAATTTTTTAAACTAAAAAAGTAAATAAAAATAAGAAACTCAAATAATGATAAGCAAATAGATCTACATATAGGAGAGAAATTTAAAACTCAAATTAGCAGTTGAATCAAACAAGTAAAAAAAAATTATTTGTAAGAAATATCAAATATACAATGACTTTGCTAGAAAAATCATATATAGCTCTACATGAATTTTGTGTCCTACATAGCAATTTGGTTTCCTATGTGGCGTCATACGTTTATTATGTGATGTAGTATGTGTGTTTACTTGTTCAATTTTATTACAAGCTTAAGTGTTTATTTATGCACATTCAAAACTTGAGGGCGTAAATGTCAGCTAAAGTCAAATTAAATAAAATATTTATGTATTATGCCTTTTATATTTACTATATTTATGGACAAGATAATAATATGTTGCTTAAATGGTGAGATTACAATAATATTTGGAACTAAATATATAATGTATTTATTATCTGAACCTTAGTCATTAAGTCAGGGATTTTCTTTGGTTAATTAAATCTTAGCCATTAAGTCTAATTAATATATATCATGTGTCCCCCATCCAAGCAAAAACTTGAGAAAAATGGAGAGTAGCCGAATTCCAAAAATGGAAAGGTTATAAATCAGCAAACTTCCCCTCTTTTTTCTATATAGAAGGAAGCAGCTAGAAAGAAGCCTTTTGTTAATTTCATGGAGATTTCTTACAACAGAATTATAGCAGCAATTAGTGTTGCAATTTTGTTGGTATATACATGGAAAGTGTTGAATTGGGCATGGTTTAAGCCAAAGAAACTTGAGAAATACTTAAGAAAAAGTGGTCTTAAGGGAAATAAATACAAATTACTTTATGGAGATTTGAAGGAACTCACAAATAAACTCAATGAAGCCAAATCTAAGCCCATCCATTTCTCTGGTGATGTACCTCAAAGGCTCATTCCTTTTTTCTGTGACTCCATCAATAAAAATGGTATTTTTTTTTTCTATTCTTGTACATTTGCACTCTCAATTTTAGAGTGCATACTTGTAAGTTGAGATCAAATTTGAGTGTTTGTTTATGTATTATGCTGCTTTTTTTTTTTCTAATCGAAAATGGATTACTCTCAGGTAAAAATTTGTTTGTGTGGCTAGGCCCATATCCAGTAGTGTTGATCACAGAACAAGAACATGTAAAGGAATTTTAACAAAGAATTATGTGTACCAAAAGCAAATTCATCCCAATCCATTTTCCAAGATATTGGCTCTAGGCCTTTCGAAGCTTGAGGAAGACAAATGGGCCAAACACCGAAAAATCATCAGTCCTGCTTTCCAAGTTGAGAAGTTAAAGGTTATATTATTCACTTCATATACTTATTACTAATAAATTTAGCAAACATTGGTAAATTTTCATGCCAAGGACTTAAGATAGCATATTGAAATGTCTTAACATTATGAAGTTGTCCGTTTATATCCATGCGTGCAGTAACAAACAACGTCAAGGGGATTTAAAACAATGAAAGCATGCCATACCTGAGATTTGAACCTGAAATCTATAGAAACTTTTGAACCACCTTTAATGCCCCCAAAACAGTTGTTTTTACCCTATTCCCACTGTTAATTTGCCAAAGATGAATTGAAGCCCCTTCAATACATGTATCTCTGCTACTAATAGCTAGTACTACTTTAACCGATTAATTTGTTTTGTACAGCATATGTTGCCAGCTTTTTATCAGAGTTGTAGTGAAACAATAAGCAAATGGGAGGAGATAATTCCAAAGGAAACGTCATTTGAGCTTGATGTATGGCCAGACTTTCAATTAATGACCAGTGAAGTCATTTCTCGAACTGCATTTGGGAGTAGCTATGAAGAAGGGAGAATAGTATTTGAACTTCAAAGAGAACAAGCTGAGCATGTAACGGACATAAGTCGTACAGTTTATATACCAGGAACAAGGTATAACAATTTATTTGTGAAATTTCTACATAATATCGAAAATCACATGTTCATTACTTTCTACTAAAACGAGTTTTCTTGTTTGCATTTAAATTTCTTTTGTTAGGTTCTTGCCTACTAAAAGGAACAAAAGAATGCTGGAAATCAAAAAGCAAGTCCAAACAACGATTAAGCTTATCATCGACAAAAGATTGAGGGCAATGGAAGCAGGGGAGACTAGTAAAAATGACTTATTAGGCATATTACTTGAATCCAATATGAAAGAAATTGAACAACACGGAAGCAAAGATTTCGGATTGACAACAACAGAAGTGATTGAAGAGTGCAAGTTATTCTATTTTGCTGGACAAGAGACCACTTCAGTGTTGCTCGTCTGGACAATGATTTTGTTGTGCCTACATCCAGAGTGGCAAGTCCGTGCCAGAGAGGAGGTTTTGCAGGTCATCGGAAATGAAAAACCAAATTTTGAAGGACTAACTCGCCTCAAAATTGTAAGTACTTTCCACTAGTTTGTTATGTAAGACAACTTAAAATAGCCCAAGATCTCTGCATAGATCAAATTTCGAAGATGAATTAAAACACTATAAAATGAGTAGCTATTAAATAGTCTTGC